GCAGGCACTGGTCTACCCATTTATTTTTGCAGGCACTGGTCTACCCATTTATTTTTGCAGGCACCGGTCTACTCATGTATTTTTGCAGGCACCAGTCTACTCATGTATTTTTGCAGGCCCTGGTCTACTCATTTGTTTTCTTTTAACACTGATCAGCTGTAGGGCGGCCCTTTGAAGCCCCGCGGCAAGAGTTTAAACAGTTTTTTTCTTTATAGCCCATCAGCTGGGACTCAGGAGGCAGCAATAGGTTGGGGGTGGGGCCAAATAAAAGGTAAGAATAATGTAGGGGGTGCGGGGAGCAGGGGGGGCAGAACCGGTTCAGTGACATCATATCGTCACTGCTACCGACTTGGCAGAACCGGGCTGAACCGGGAGGAATCCACCACTGCAGTGCAGATATTTCTGCACACAATGTCAACTATTTAGCTGTTCATGTTGTTTGTGCCTGCATCTTACACCCTGTCCCTATGTGTTGAGCTGTTTCTGAAGCCTCTTTGCATAATCCAGACCTTGGGCCTATCGGGTGTGGGCTTTCTTGAAGACTACTTGGAAACTTCAGCTATTCTGGAAGTAGTTAGGTCTAATGACAATCTTAATTTCCTAATGGAGAAGTGCCCCAGTGCACTGCCTGTTTATTGAGGTCAAGGTTGTTGTAATACCTAAAGCCAGGGGAGCATAACTCCCAAACAGACACCCCTTTTCCTTACTCTCTCAGGTTTTGATCGTACATGCCATCTTTACTTATGTTGTGACTCCGACCCCCGAGCCTGTCCTAACAGAGGGAGAGGACTCAGAAGGTGAAGGAGAGGATTTGACAAGGCCTCCCTCTCCAGGACCCTCCTCTCTGGTAATGCCTCAGGTTTCCTCCGAAGGCCAAGAAGAGATATGCCAGGAGCAAGGCACTTCGGAGCAGCCACAGATAGAGAGCGAGGGGGATGAGTTTTGGCTGGATCCCAGACAGCGTCGGAAGGATAAGCGCATGCAGCAGAGAAAGAGGGGTGGGCGGGCCAGAGATTGAGCTGAGTCACTGGACCACACCCCACAAGGGATAAAAGGGGGTGTGTCAGCTATTCAGGCCTTGTGACGGACAAATTGAAAAGCTCGGAAGTCATATCGTGTTTCTAGAACCCTGTTATAATCTCTTTTTGGATTTCTTCGGACTGGACTTTGACAATTCTTTGCTTTGAGGAATTAATTTGGTATATCGGACTGAGAAGAAAAAACCTCCCTTAGTGAGTAAAATTTCTTGGCAGGCAGTTCATGGTTCGCTGCCAAGACTGCTATCTTAAAGGAATTCCTGACTGTTTGATTCATTAACTCCTGACTGTCTGTTTGTGTGTGTGCATGCGACGGGGACAGAACAACTTAATCTGAGTTTAAAATATGGATTAGAATTGCACATGCTACATTAGATTTGGCATTTAGGAACAGCAGCCAGAGATCAAGGTCTCCAGTAATCTACAAACTGAGGTAGAACATGGATTTTCAACCCCTTTCCTGTGATAACCTTCTTTTCCTCTTCTTTCTCTGTTGTGACCTAGGCTTACTAAATCATTACAATACACAATTAGTCCCAAACAAACCTATTTTATTGTAACAGCTGACAATTACGTTCATTTCCAGCTGAGTCCCAATTAGTTGCAAAACAAGTCCTTCGGAAGTAGTCCTTCGGGATAATCACCAACCTTTATCTTCTTTGACACCCTGCCAAAGGCCTTACTTGGCAAAACTCCACGAAGTTCAGAAATAAACAAGAGATGCCGACTGGAAACAGAGTTAACAACATTGCTTTCCTGCGAAAGGCCCAAGTGCCTTTCTCTTTTAAGCCTTATGGGAGGGGCCAATCATCTCCTGGCCTTACTACCAAGTCATCCCTTTTGCTTTAGCTGCTCTTGCCTTTTGGCAGCTCTGCACATGTGTGCACTAGGAACAGACTCCTCCTATTCCTCTGCCTCTCTGTTGTCTGACTCTGGGGGTTCCGGAGCCTGCACATCACTCCCAGATGGCCCTGGCCCCATCTCTGCCTCCGACACAGAACCCTCGTCTGGGCCTTCCCTAGATTCCAGGACTAGCCCATGTTTCTCCCCAGCCTCCTCACTGTCCAACTCTGCTGCCAGCTCCACAGGCTGCTGGCGGACACACACACGGACACACACACACACACTCCCTCCCTCCTTCCCTCCCTCCCTCCCTGTCTCTCTCTCTCTTTCTCCCCATCACAGCACAATTTCCTAGTTCCAGTGCTCATCAGTTCACCAGACTATTTCCTAACTTCTCATTTCCTCAACTGTCTCTTCAAGAGCTAGGTGACAGTCGTGCTAGTCTTGGGAATAACCACAATAAATCCCAATGCATTTGAAAAGAGCAAATTCTATCTGCCTTCCCCTGGCTTTACCCTCTACTCACTGAAAGAGATTGTCATTTCCAAAGAAGACATTTTGAGTAAACGGTAAAGTCACCTGGTCATGTACTTTCCTTTTGCCAGCAATCTTACAATTGGCTGCTGAGATACCTTTGTGGGCTCATTATAGAACATTCTTGGCATTTTTCATTGTAAGCTCGAATACTCACATGTCTTTGATACAGAATTTCATTTCTTGGCATCTGAGTTCTTGTCACGAAGTAGAATGAGATACTAATATGGAGTAAAAGAGTTTTCAGAAAATAAAAAGAAAATGTTTTTTTTTTAAGTCACCCAGTAATGTTTCATTGTCAGTGGTATATTGGCAGAAGAAGGAAATTGAACCCTGTTCTCTTTTGAAATGATTTATTAATATCTCCTTTGAACAGGTAGGAATTGATTACAAAAATTATTTGATCTCCTACTCTCGCATTCCTCTTCACCTTTGTGAAATCTAGTACCCTGCAAATAAATTAGCTCTTATAATTCTACAGCTGTTGTATCATGTTGTTTGGGGAATAATGGGAGTTGAACTCCCATCACATCAACCAGGATACAAGCCTGGAAAGTTAACAGACTTAACAGTAACAGAGTTGAAAGGGACCTTAGAGGTCATCTAGTCCAACCCCCTGCCCCCGCAGGAGACCTGTACTAGGGATTCGAACCGCCAAACTGGTGACCTTTCTGATCGACAAGCTCAGTGTCTTAGCCACTGAGCCACCTAGTAATATCAAGTTAATATCATTATTGGTTATTTTTATTCAGCTTTCTGTATTCTTCTTCTTTGAAAAATGACATTGCTTCGTTTAACTTCGATAACTGTTTAACATTATCAAAGATATACACTATATATACACTTAAGTTATGCTCTATCTATCTATCTATCTATCTATCTATCTATCTATCTATCTATCTATCTATGTAAAGTGTTTTTCTATCGAGGCACCTGGTCTGCCCCAGCATGTGGGAGGGAGCATATTGTGAAATATAAATTTTATATATATACAGTATAGTGCTTGATCTGCTTCTAATATCTTGTTTTTGATTCTGATCTTGTTATTTTAAAGTTGTGAGCTTTGATATGGTTGTTTTAATATTGAATTGCTGACGACCAAGGATGTATATTTTTAAATAAACATATGTTTCTCTTTCTTGGCTTACATGTTTCATAAAAGTCCTTTGGTTGATGGTTATTTACCTCATCCCAGTTTTGGGCCTGATGCTTTAACCCAGGGTGGGGAACAATGACCCTTTTAAAACTAGTGGACTTTTAACTCCTAGAATTCCTGAGCCAGCCATGCTCAGTCATAAAGAGGCCATCGTTCTCTACCTCTGCTTTAACCACTACCCCAAACTGCCTCTTTAGCTATCAATAAGGGTAAAATAAATATAACGATCTATAGGTCTGATAATTTTGCAACCCAAAGTACTCAATATTAGTTATACATGCATATTCTATTAGATAATTCCTCCTTGTATTGATACAACTGTAAAAACCGTATTATTCAGACATTACGCATGGCTGCTTCAGAAACACAATTGCATTTTCCATGTCAAAAAACAAGCCGTGGATGCTATCCTGAAAATTAAAAATCTAATCTGGCTTTCTTGCAGCTATGAATATTCAGAATAATGAATATTGTTCCCTTGTTGAAAGCTGACGAACAGGACAGATTCCCTCCACCTCCCGTCTTTTTTGATGATAGAAAAACTCATTAGAAATGTGATGTTATTAGCAGTTTCCCTTGAATTGCAAATTTCTATCATACTATAACTAGTATTATGATAATGATGAAATTAAATTAAATTAGCATATCACATACTATACAGGAAAAGTGTTAATACATTATAGTAATACAAGACAACAGATAATTGCCAGCTTAATAAGAATTTGTCCTCTGAAAAGATCATTTGGCTTACATCTTCTTCCTTCAGGCTTGGAAAACTGTAGCTCATACTGGTTTATTTTGTAAAGCCAATCACAGGTTAAGTAAAAGACCATCTATCATAATGCTATGGATTTGGATGGTATATTTTTATTTATTTACTTATTTATTTATATCTTGCCTTTATTATTTTTATAAATAACTCAAGGTGGTGAACATACCTAATATCCTGTCCTTCTCCTATTTTTACCTACAACAACCCTATAAGTTGGGTTGGGCCAAGAGAGAGTGATTGGTCCAAAGTCACCCAGCCAGATTTCATATCTAAGGTCGGACTAGAACTCACAGTCTCTTGCTGATTGGTCCAAAGTCACCCAATCAGCTTTAATGTCTAAGGTAGGACTAGAACTAATGTTCTCCTGTTTTCCCAAAGATACCCAGCCAGTTTTCGTGCCTAAAGTGGCATCATAACTCATCTTCTCCTGGTGTTTGACCCAAAGTTACCTAGCTAGCTTTTTTGTCTAAGGCAGGACTGGAACTCATAGCCTCCTGGATATTAGACTAATACCTTATCCAACCAAGTTTGATCTACTGACTAGGTTTTGTCTGATAGCTGAGGATTTGTCACAGATAAATAATTGCATATCAGCTTTCTGATAACAGCTTTCATTCCCGCCTTGATTTCTGATCTCTCTTTCTCTTTGTTCTTGCAGTTCCTCCGTGGTTTATCACTCACCCTTCAAATCTCTATGCCTATGAAAGTATGGACATCGAGTTTGAATGTGCTGTCTCCGGAAAACCAGCCCCTACAGTACAATGGATCAAGAATGGAGAAGTTGTCATTCCTAGTGATTATTTTCAGATAGTGGTAATTATCAGTGCTTGTTAATACACCTTGTGAAACCAGTTCAACAGCTTCAACCTCAATTGTAAAATGATTCTGGAAAAAATTGTTGTTGTTTTTTAATGGTAATATAGCAAGGTGGGCTTTCAAAGTTAGCACTTAGCTAATAATGTAATAAAGTACATCGATTAAATGATTGCTTTGAAAGTAAGGATGGAGAGGAAAAAGGTGAAAGCCATTTCCCCCATGACCTTCTGTAATTTCCCCCCCACTCTTGCTCTTTTCTAATAGGGTTTTTTTTCCCCCTATATGGGTGATTTTAATTAGTCGTCATCTATTGGGAGTGATGATATCATAACACTATGCAATAGTTTAGCTAGATTTGTAGACCAAATCAGATCTATAAGAAGGTATACTTTCCAATGCAGGTTAAGTGAGTGATCTTGACCCAGTCAAGAACATTTGTAGTATTCCTTGCAAAAATACCCTTCCAATTATACTCTTCCAATTCTGACATATGTTTAAAGTAATAAAGCACCCATATCTTATTTGTACGAAGCCCTATTCAAAATGTGTTTTATTCAGTGACTTCTCCTCAACCATGGCCTGCTACACTCAGTATCATTGACTTAAACTTGAACTCACCAGACAGTTTACAGAGCGATAACCCTTATATCAGTGTTTTTCAGCCTCAGCAATCTTAAGATGTTCAACATCCAGAAATCCAGAAAGGATTGTGGGGAATGGAAGATATAAATATAATAAATGGATATAAATTCTTCCATTCCCCACTATCCTGACAGAGCTGAAGAAGCTTCTTGGATGAGACTTCAAAAGAAAAAACAAAGTTCAGTTGCCTCCTGAAAAAGTACCTTTGGGACCACATATCTTAAACTTGTTGAGGTATGGATGGAAACTAATCAAGGAGAAAACCCCTAGAACTAAGAAATTTCCTAACAATAAGACCAATTAACCACTGGAATGGCTTATCTCCAGAAATTGTGGGTGTGCCATCATTAGAGGTTTTTAAGAAGAGATTGGACAACCACATTTTCGAAATAATATGGAGTCTTCTCCTTGTGCAGTGGATTTCACTAGGAACCTCCAAGGTCCCTTCCAACTCTGTTATTCTGAGAAACCCTGCCATATATAAAGGAAGCACAGACCATCATGCCAAGCAGGCTCGTTCTGATTTTGCTTCCTTCTTTAGTTATATGTTTAAAAAAATGAGTGTCTTTTGTACATGCACTTTTTAACAAACCAAAAGGAACTTCTTCCCAATAAAAACTATACATTTGAAGAAAATTTCCTGTCAGGAGAAAAAAGAAAAATTGAATTCCCCATTTTCAGTCTCCCACAGGCCCAATAATTTCAAAATGGTGTAGTAGTATTTTTCATGTTTAAATCTGAAACAAGGGCAGAAGGGACTCCTTGAGTCCAGGAGGTTTCAGAAAACCTCCAGAAAACAGAGAAAAATTGTCAAAGAAGTTATGCAGCACTACAGTATAAATTTGTAGCCTGGCCTAACAGGGAATACTGTAAGAGCATGATCACTATAGAAAGATCTGAGAAAAAAATGTTGGGTCTCGATGCATATTCAGAGAAAAATGGGCTTGAGATCAAACTGTGATGAGTATGTGCAGTTCAGAGTTAAACTGTTGGGTCCTTGGTGCTCTCTGAGCCTGGTTGTTTTCTGGTTAGACTGATGATGTTACTTAGTTGGGTAATGAAACATGTTCAAAAAAACAATCAAGCTGAGAGATCACCAAGAACCCCACAGATCAAATTATTTGATGTGTGGGGTCCTTGATGCTCTCTGAGAATGGCTGTTTTCTTGCAGATATTTCATTGCCCAATTAGGTAATATCATCAGTGACTGCAACTGTACCGCTGAGGAAAAGGCCCATCATTATATGAAAATTGAGACTTTATCAAACAACATATACACACATCTCAGAAAGGAAGCACACTGATACAGAACTTCTGTAATATTTTTAACCGAACTGCTAAATCAAAAGTTAATATTCTGTATTGTACATGGATACCTGTGTGACGACTCTGCTCTCACAAATGTGGCATGCTATTTTTTATTTCAGAAGAAGTTTACTGACCGCACAATACTTTTCCCCATTTTTAACAACTTAGTTGTAAGAGATGTAACACATCTCATACATAAGGCCATTAGTCTGCTGATACAAGACCCTTCTGTCAATAAATAGACAATGATGATCTAAATCAAACACCTTTTATTTATAAATGGCTTGGAATCATTTCTCCTTATTTTCAGAAAAGATCTGTTCAAGTCCATGCAACCTTACCTATTACTGTTTATAAGAAAGATAATCAGATAATGCAAGTTTGCTTGCCTGGGATTTTATTTTGCAGTTCTAAGCAGAACTGCTTCTACTTTTTTTGTGTGTTCTCACTCAGAAATCTAAGTTTTACAGCAGAGGGTGCCAGTTTAGAATTTTGTAGCTGTAGAACAGACTGACCTTCAAATTATTTTTCTTACTCGGAAGAAATATTTAAAAAACAAGAAGAAAACAATGAACCTACTGACAATGCAAATACACTTCATATGCAAGATAGTGGAAATGTTTTTTAATATCAATTTTAAGTGCTAGATAAGAAATGTGAGCTACTTTCTGCTCTGTAGCATTATCATTCTTTTAACAGCATAGTCTTGACTTTATAGCAGCGTAAACAAATAAGAGTAGCACATTTGTTTAAAAAATATACATTTTATTAAAGTTCTAGGATAGCGATGAGGGGAGATACATATGAATAGATACCCTGTTTTCACCAAAATAAGACATCCCCTGATAATAAGCCCAATCGGGCTTTTGAGCACATGGCAATAAGGCCAAGCGCTTATTTCAGGGTTCAAAAAAATATAAGACAGGGTCTTATTTTCGGGGAAACACGGTATCTATATATTTGTCTCATTCAATGTTTTCTCAATGAAATTAACATTTAGGCTTAGTAATAACTATTTTCTTCTATAATTAGGAATCTCACATGCTGAAAATGTTAAGACGCAATGTATTAGTAATGTTTAAATTTATTTATTTTTATTTATTTGTTATTGTCTTCTTCTAGGTTCTCTTCTTTTTTACAAACATCCTGGGCTAAGCTATAGTTTAGAAATACCTGTTATGATAAAGCATAAAATTGAGAATAAAATAGCACTATAAAACAACACCTGCTATTTTTTTTTAAAAAAAAAAGGCAAATGCAGAAAACAAAAGATATAAATATCAACATTGTCATCTTTACCATTTTTATCAGGTGCTCAGCAGGATTCGGTATGAATCATCTTTATCTCCCTGAGGAGAAAATTTGAGAGCCTTGCTTAAATCAACATTATTTCAGAAAATAAGGATATGTGACAGCTCACTTTTTCATATAATTTTATTAAAGCTTACAATTAAAAAGTAAAAATTAATACAAACTACAATTTTTTTAAAAAATAGAGAGTGTAGAAAAGGAAAAACAGCGAAAAATACAAATGACTTCATCCTGATAAGTACAAACGTTAGTCACTGATCTCTTAAAATACAACAGATGCACGCTGCTCATCATAACTCATCTCTCAATTTTAAACAAAATTTTGAAGCTCGTTATTCATTTCTAGTCATGTGACAACTACCTCAGTATATTGGAAAGTCCACTTAGGGGGAAATGAATTGTCCATCCCATTTCTGTACTTTCTGGGAAATTCAAGTACAATATATGGTTGAAGAAATTAGGTTTGTCTAGCACAGTGATGGCGAACCTTTTTGGTACTGAGTGCCGAAAAGGTCACACGGAAACATTGCGCGCACATGCACACACTTGCTGGGGCTGCGCTCAGGAAAAGCCGAACTTCCGGGTTCTAGTGCGCATGCGCGCCTGACAATCAGCTGGCTGGCACACATGTGCAAGCCGGTTTTTGGCACTGCCGCGTGCGTGAAGGGATCGCATTCCAGAAAAGCCAAACTTCTGGGTTCTGGCACACATGCGCACCTGACAACCAGCTAGCCGGTGTGCATGCACACAGCGGTTTATGGCACTGCCATGAGAGCAAAAGACAGTTAATCTTCGTGTGCTCATGCGCGCCAGAAATCCAGAAGACAAACAGGCAAGGCTGCGCGTGCCAGGCGACATGGCTTCACGTGCCACTTTGGGCACTCATGCCATAGGTTCGTCATCACGGGTCTAACATATCAAAGAGAAGAATTGAGGGGATATGATAACTATCTTCCAATACTTGAGGAGAAGTCACAGAGTAGAGAGGATTGACTTATTCTCCAAAGCACTAGAAGGCAGGACAAGAAGCAATGGGTGGAAGTTCAACAGAGGGAAATTCAACCTGGAACTAAGGATAAATTTTCTGACAGAACAATTAATCAATGGACTAGCCTGTCTCTTGGAGTGATTGGTGTTCCATCACTGGAGGTTTTCAAAAAATAGACTGGATAACCATTTGTCTGGGATGGTAGAGGGTCTCCTGCCTTGAGCTATCATTATTTTCAACCTTCCCAGCCACTTTCTGACAAGCAAACTCAATGGGTAAAGCTGGATTCATTTAACAACTAAGTCACATGACAGTGAGATGTGTGGCATATGAATTTATTTATTTATTTATTTATATTTATTTTATTAGTCATATTTCTATGCCACCCACTCTCCGAGGACTCTGTGCGGCTTACACCAAAGACAGTATACTAAATAGCATATTGCCCCCTAACAATCTGGATCCTCATTTTACACACCTCAGAAGGATGGAAGGCTGAGTCAACCTTGAGCCGGTGACATTTGATCCGCTGATCTTCTGAACTAGCAGTCAGCTGAAGTAGCTGCAGTACTGCACTCTAACCACTGTGCCACTTCAGCTCATCCTTTGATAAATAAACAGAAATAAACAAACAAGCAAACAAATAATAATAATATACTAATAATAAACTACTAATTAATTATTTGGATTAAATTATGATTTTATTGTACTTGTTTCTTAACTTGTGTTCGCCACCCTGAGTCCTTCGGGAGAATGGCGGCATATAAATACATGTAATAAATAAATAAATAAATAAATAAATAAATAAATAAATAAATAAATAAATAAATAAACAAATAAATACCAGATTAATTTAATAACTGCCGTGATTCACACAAAAAGTTTGTAAAATCAGATGTGATTCACTTAACCACCTTGCTTAGCAACAAAAATTCTACTCCCAATTGTGGTTCTAAGTCAACGACTATCTATACAGGTAGTCCTTGACTTACAACAGTTCATTTAGTGACCGTTCGAAGTTACAATGACACTGAAAAAAGTGATTTATGACCGTTTTTCACATGACTGCTGCAGCATCCTCGTGGTCATGTGATCAAAATTCAATTGTCAACGGACTCATATTTGTGACGGATGCAATGTCCTGGGGTCATGTGATCCGCTTTTGTGACCTTCTGACAAAGTCAATGGGGAAGCCAGATTCACTTAACAACTGTGTTATTAACTGAACAACTGCAGTGACCGCTCTTAACAACTGTGGCAAGAAAGGTAAAGAAAATGGGGCAAAACTCATTGAACAAATTACTCACAAATTACAAATTAGCAACATATACTTTGGGCTCAATTGTGGTCAGAAGTCGAGGACTACCTGTACTCAAAACAAGTTGTTCCCAATGTGATCCCTTCCTTGAATTCACAGCTCCAAAATAACCCCTTTGGCTTGTGTCTCTCTCTATAGGGAGGCAGCAATCTGCGGATTCTGGGCTTAGTAAAATCAGATGAAGGCTTCTACCAGTGTGTAGCTGAAAACGAAGCTGGGAATGCACAAACCAGTGCACAGCTAATCATCCCCGAACCTGGTAAGCTGCAAAAGAATGTTCAGAATTTCCTGTTTCAATTTGTATGATTAACAGAGCTTTGAAATATGCAACTTTCTCCTGTGTATGGCAGCATCCTTACTCATATGCTGGTTGGTTGCAATGACAGTGGTGGGTAATCACTCACGACATGCCTCAGCAGTTTCTACTTCAGGAAGAAGCCATTAGAATTGCCCTTAGAGGGAAGTGAGAAACCTCTGAGTTCATCAGAGCTATGGAGTATGTTAGATGGGATGCATAAAGTATCTCCCTTGGGCAGAAATCTCATCTGGGTGGATAGAAACACATCCATGTCTAAGTGGTGCTTTTACTTCTGCTGATTCCTGGGATGAACTTTTCAGGAGCTTTATGTCAGCCTCGAACAACCAGACCCATACGCAGAGAGTTCAAGCTATCTTATTTTTTATTATAAAGGAGACCCTGCGGATTTTAGTCTGCTAGTTGTTGCTGACTATAGGGAGCTATTCTCATCTCCATTTCAAGGCCATCGAGCCTTGAATGTCTTTACACATTTCCATGGTCATGTAGCCAACATGATGCCATGGAGCGTTGTTACCTTCCCATTGAAGTGGTACCTATTTATCTACTTGCATTTGCATGCTTTTGAACTGCTGGGTTGGCAGAAGCTGAGGCAAGTCACGGGAGCTCGCCCCATTACGTGGAGCTCAGGTCTCGAACCTGGACTGCTGTCTTTCCAGCCGACAAGCCCAGAGTCTTAACTACTGAGCCAATGGGCTGCCCCAACTACTTTATTATGTTCTGCCAAAAATACAGAATTCATCCAAGGACTGGCAGCCTTTTCTTGAGAACCAACAGATAGAAGGCTTCAAATGTTGGTCCTAACCCTTTGGCGATTGTGCAGTGACTCCATGCTCATTCTGCACTTGATTCCTTCTCCTTGTCAGGTTGGGTGCTTCCCAACACTTTATGAGAAGGGGGAAAAAAAAAAAAACAGGGAAAATTTTTCTCTCCTTTTTAGTAGCCAGTGCATTTTGACAAATAAAAGTGAAAAAACAAAAAGGTGCATCCAATCCAATCTATATCCAATCCATGTCAGTGTGACATTCCTCCAGATTTAATCTATCAAACAAATGCACTCTGATCTTTTTTAAGCGAAAAGGGGGGGAAATTGCCCTACATAAAGTATTTTAGTTTGTATACATTTTCCCCAATGTACACTTGCATGCAATTTATCCTTATATATTCATTTTATGTAATTATCCTTAATACATAATATTGTTTACATGAACATTCCCAATGCACACTTTTCTTCCCCTGCATGCTGCCAAATGTACTTTTTTTGCCTGCAGACACATTTTAAATATGCAGCGTTGGAGTTTAAAAAGATTTCAAGACAACTGATGTAGTATAAAGTACATGCCAGTTCGTGCCATAGCAGTTTCTCTCCCCCCCCCCTTTTTTTTTTGACGGATTGCAGAATTGTTCTTGGAAAGACACAGAATAGTTGTTTTTTTTGTTGTTTTTTTTTACATCCCTGATGGAAGATAATGTCATTCATGGGCCTGCCTATCCCTGTTGCAAACTGTTTATTTCCATATGGGCAGCTATAATTAAAATACTTTGCATTGGAACAAAAACATCATTCAAGGATGCTCAAACAGAATGTGTTATATCTGGTTATTTTAAGATGCTTTACATTGGACCATTGTTTCAGTATTGCTTTGGAAGGAGGAACAGGTGAACAATAAGAAAAGAAATAATATGAATGCAGCATATCCCTTGCACTGTTCTTCAGTAACAACAATTATTGCATCTCAGAGTCTTGTAGTCAGTCAAAAAGAGAACAACAGTGAATAGGGAGGAGATAAAAAAAAAAAGCAGAAACCCACTTATTAAAATAGAAATAATAATAAAAAATATAATAGAGCTAGTCTTCAACTTAGAATCATTCGTTTAGCAACTGCTTGTTATAATTTGTTTGCTAATTTCCACACCTGTCCTAGAAAGAAACAGGTAATCCAATAGAAGAGAATACTGTACATATAGCTGAGGGTTGAACTATGGAGTCCTCAATGCTTTCTCAGCTTGGTTGTTTGTTTGCAGACATTTCATTGCCCAACTAGGTAATGTCATCAGTGCTACAATGGGATGTGGGGCTTCCTCCTTGTTGATATACAGTAGTTTGCCCTGCCAGATTGGTAGAGATTTGATTAGGGGTAATTCAGGGGTGAAATGCTCTCGGTTCGGACCGGATCGGGCGATCCGGTAGCGATTGTGGCAAGTGGTTCGGAGAACCGGTAGCGATGGCGGCACGAGGCTCTGCCCATCTGCCCGGGTGTTGTTACTTCCTGCTTTTAAAAGGTGAAAAAAAAGGCTCTGACAATCACGCACCACAGCTGTGATCATCAGAGCCTTTTTTTAAACTTTTAAAAGCATTTTTAAAAGCGACAGGGGGCTCCCATGTGACACCTCTCCTGCGTGAGCTGCACTGGCTTCCTGTGGTCTTCCAGGTGCACTTCAAGGTGTTGGTGACCACCTTTAAAGCGCTCCATGGCTTAGGGCTGGGGTATCTACGAGACCGCCTTCTGCCGCCAATAGCTTCCCACCAGCCAGTTCACTCGCACAGAGAGGGCCGCCTCAGGGTGCCATTGGCCAGACAATGTTGGCTGGCGACCCCCAGGGGGAGAGCCTTCTCTGTGGTGGCACCTGCTCTCTGGAACAACCTACTCCCAGAGATACGCACGATACCAGACCTCTGGATACTTTGTTAAGTGTACACTTAACAAATGTATGTGATTTGTGGATCAAAAAGCAGATTGAATATTCTTGTTGGAGACTCCTTTTCAAATGTTCTTCTGAACCTGTGAGAATTCCAGCGTAGGACATGATAGGGACATGTGTGTTTCTCTTTTCATGTCCATGTAGTCAGTCAATGTGCTTCCTTCACTTACCTTGAATTTAGCTCCTTAATCGGTATCTGTAGCCATGGACACTATTGCTGTCATTTAACATGAACAAAATACATGGCAAAACCAGAGAGCAGTAGCCTCTGGAGGGGTGGTACATAGGTAACATGAACCAATGTCAGCATCATACACTGGTGTCCTGTTGCAAATCTTTCTGACATGTATTATGACATTCAACACAAGCTGTGCTGTTGCCAAATAGTGTGGAGAGAGGCTAGATGTAGGGAGTTCTCTCGTGTATTAATAAAAATCAATGAAGGATGCCTAAATGTGATACTGAATTTATCGGTGCTGATCACATTTACGCTCCCTCCTCTCATTCCACTGGGAGAGCATTCCATAGATAGCGCTTTGTTTCCCATCCCATTCCTTGGTGCTTCCAGGTTGAAAGGATTAGATGGTGACATCGCTGTTGCCCAGGGGACACCTGGTGTCCTTTCATGTCCCCATGAAGTTGCCCACCAAAGTGGTACCCGTCTATTTACTCGCGGTTGCTCATTTTCGCATTGCTGGGCTGGCAGGAGCTGAAGCGAGTGATGGGAGCTCGCCCAGCTATGCAGCAGCAACTGGGTCTCAAACGCAAGCCTGATGATTGTCAGCTCAGCATAAGCCCCACTTTGTTTTATTCGCAACATGATTTTGAATTCATATGTTCACTACTGGCATTCAGCTTACATTTACCGTATTTTTCGCACTATAAGACACACTCCCCCCCCCCCAAAAAAAAAGTGTGTGCATGTGTGCTCACATTTGCAAACCGGTAAGGAAAGTAAATAAATAGGAGCTCTGGTGGCTCAGCAGACTACTTCATCTGCTGCCTGCAATTACTGCAAGTTCAAATCTCACCAGGCTCAAGGTTGACTCAGCCTTCCATCCTTTCTAAGGTAGGTAAAATAAGGACCCAGATTATGGGGGCAATAAGCTGACTTTGTATAAATATACAAAAGTATGAAGGCTATTGCTTAACGCATTGTAAGCTGCCCTGAGTCTCCAGAGAAGGGCGGCATATAAATCAAATAAAAAAAAAAATCAACCCTGGTTGTAAGGATATTTTATTCACCTACTGTATTTATTTGTTAACGACAAACCTGAATTTCCACGTTCAACTCATGGTATTTCACACTGATACCAGCCTTCCTCCTCTCCCTGCTGTAATGCAATTTAATTCACCTCTGACAGCTGTAAAACACTTATATAATTCATTACCATCTCCGTCTAAGAGTTTAAATTTCTGTTATTTGAATTTAGGTGGGTTTCTTTTTTTTTTTTAATGGTTTGGCATTAGACTAAAATGAAAGCAAGCAGAAAGGAAGGCAAGTCCTAAAAAGGTGACGGAGACCCCATTGTAAATGGTCTCCATCCCATTCCCGGCCCCTATCAAGTGATGGATTGCTTTCCCTTGGCAATTTAATCAGATCTCCATACAATGCCATTCAGAATTCCTCCGAGATTTTGAAAACGGCAGCCTGCACAGATGGCAGGAGAGGCAGGAAGAAATACAAATGAATCACTGGGTTTGACCACAGGGGGAAGAACATTGTCCTCCCTGTTTAAAATTTTGTCAATAAATGGGCACCATCCCTTGCTCACACAGCGCAAAGGCCGGCTCCACAGCTGTCCTGTTCCTGCTTGTCCATGGGCCCATGGACAAAGAGTTTCCCCTGGCAACTAGGACAATTCGCTTTGTGCTGAGACCCAGACAATAACCTATTAAAGTAACCCATTTGCTCTTGGTGGATATTTATAAAAGCCTAATGAGTTTTCGATATAGTATTGTGAGAGGTGTCCAGCTCATCCTTCTTGCAATCATTACATCTGATGAAAGGCTAGGAGAAAGGTGTTAATGGAAGATGGATCTCTGTATGGAGAGGCACCATCGGGGATAATTCATCCCAAATGATTGAGCGCTAAATCTTTTCAAAGTAAGGCCAAAAGCCTCCTTTTGAAAATGAGGTCAGGTTTATGTTTTAGGACTATGGGAATATAGAAATAAACGTTCACCATGTTCTGTGGGCTTCAGCTTTCTGGGAATCTACTACTACTACTACTATTATT